GCCGCTCAGCCGGGCCGGGCGCGACCCTCTCCTGCGGGTCCGGCTGGCAGTGTCATCCCAGGCTTTGCGCTTTTGAGCCGAGTCTCTGCCGCTCACGAGGCTGTTGGTGCGCGGTGGAAGGTGCCCAAACCGAGGGACCCAAAGGCACACGCGCTGGAGCTGCCGTGCAGCGGGCAGGGTGGGTTTGGGAGGGGGCACAGAGGAGGCTACGTTCCCAGCAGAGCGCTTTAAAATGCTCTGTTTGGGGTGATGCCTTGGCACCACACGATTCCATCTCCATCTTGTGTCCTGGACAAGGGGACAGGGTGGCAGGAAAGGCCTGCGTGTGGAGGGATCTGCCTCACGCTACACTATTCCAGCAGAAGAGACCCCATGGGGGCCACGTACCTCTCAGCTCCTTCACCTTCCTCGCAGAGCCCTGGCCTCACTGCCCAGGTCCTTCTGCAGAAGCTGGTCCGTGATGTTTTGGTTCCAGTGACGGTGCAAAGCGCTCGGCTCTTGCTGATGTCTCCGAGGTACCTGGGAGAGGGATGGGGCAGGGCGATGGCTGTTTCATGGCGATGCTGGGACCCCACTGGAGCTCGCACTGCGCCAAGAGGTGTCTGCAAACCCCAATGTCTCTTGGGAAGCTGGGAATATCTTGGCCCCAGGAGTCTGCATCTTGCGATCAAAGGAAAGGCAAGGCAGGTCCTTGCTGGCTTGGCACAGCCTGGAAGAGATGGGGATGTGATGCAATGTCTGCAAGGAGCTTTGGGATCTTTGCAGAAAAGGTATGATTTAATGCAATATGGTTGGCTATTGCTGCAGCCTCTCCCTCAGCCATGTTACCCAGTAACAAGGAACTGGAGGAAGAGCAGAAAGAGAGGTTTGGGGACGATAACCTCTGCTCTGGTTTGTTTGAGATGTTGAAAGCAATTAAATAATAGTGATTCCTTCCCCCCCCACCACATCTTTTCATCACTTATCAAAGAGACAATAGAGAGCAGGAAATTAAGAGTGCCTTGGAACAAAGAGGCCAGGAGCTGGGCAGGCGATTACAGCAAGAGGGTCTGGTACAGTCTCGTTTGTGCTTAGACATTCGCTTACCAAGCTGGATCTGAAGACACGGGGTCTTGGGGCACAAGGGAGAATCATTATCAGCCTAATAAATCTTTAGGAGGCTGGAAAAAGCTTCCCCTGGAAGAAATGATGTGGAAATTAATGTATCAGTAGAAGTGTCTAAGGAGGGAGGATAGGGAGGGACGCTGGCTGCTGCTGGCCGTGCCGCAGCCGTGCCGGACACGCTGGCGGACGTGGAGGCAGAGCGGAGGTGTTCGCTCGACACGCCGAGGAGGGAGTGCGCCACGCCAGCCCAGCACAGGAGAGGATTTTGATGCCTCGTGACCGTTTCGCAGTTGCTTTATCTTCTCTCAGCTGGTTTACGTGCCCAGGAGGGACTGTCCTAACCCTGCCCCTCCCCAGGAGAGCGGGAGTGTTTCTGAAGGCCGTGGCCTCAAAGATGCACCGACAGCCATCGCAGCACAGCGCCCTGTGCAGCCTCCTCGAATCTCTCCACCAAAGCAGGTGACGTTGCCGCATCTGCCTGTGCCTCGGTGGCCTCTCTCCGGATGGCAAGTCTTGCTCCCGGCAGCTCGGTGCGCCTGCAGCCACCCGACCCTGGCCTTGGAGCAGTTTTTCCCGGAGCACTGAGGCCTCTTTTTACCCCAGTCTCTCTACATCTTCCACCTCCAGGTCCGGCAGAGCATCCCGGGGTTGTCCCCTTCGCCCCTGCCCCGCGCTGTGCCGGGGAGGCTCTGAGCCACGTCTCCTCGTTGTCGGCGGTGGAGGCAGAGCAGACGCGGTGATCCCAGGGCTCCCTTCGCACCGGCTGGAGGCTTCTCTCTTGGTGTTAGGTGCAGGGGCCAGATTCACTTGCCTCCAGGCTGATCTGATCTCTGTAAAGAAAGCTAATGAAATCACGAGTCGCTCTGTACTGCGGGGCTGATGTGAGCAGATACCCGTCCAGCAAGGAGTGCAACAGGAGCTAGGTGAAACGGGAAGCTGTGCTTGAGCCCTTTTGAAGATATTTTTTATTCTGCTCAGATTTAGGGCTGAATTTCAGCCTTGTGCAGGGTCTGGCCTGTACCTCTGGGTGGTCGCGGTGCCGGAGAGGCACTGGATTGCCCCAGCAGCTGGTTTGGTGCTGGCAGATAAACTCCTCTTTGTCCTTTAGCCTGGGAAGTATCAACCCTGCTGAAAAGCAATTTACTGGCCTGGACTGATATGGGAGAAATGCAGGGCCTCTTGTCATGCAGCTTTGACTATCGATACAGCCCGTGGGAGAGCGGCGTGGGGATTACGTGACCACAAAGCAGCTTTTAAAGTCCTTCCAAGTTTCCTGCCATCCGTTCCCAGCTGTTCTGCAAGGCTCCCCTTAGAAAGCGGCGCTGCTCGACCCATGTCCTGGAAACGAGTGTCGTAAGGAGCTGGGAGACGCTGAGCCGTCGCGTTCGGTTGCCAACGGAGGGATAGGGTAGACTGGCCTTTCTCCCCGATCTGCAGCGGGAAGGGCAGCAAGAGCTCTCTTAGGGCTCGTGCTGGCATTTAGCAGGAACGAAGGAGGCTGTTAGCGCGCGGAGGGTTAGCCGGGCCCTGCTCCAGCACCGCTGGACGGAGGGGCTGTTGCAGGCACGCGTGGGAGCCTGTCAGTGGGGACGAGACCGGCCGGCCGGGCGGCCGGGGGCCCCGGGG